AAGGCAATTCAGTATAGAACCAGTTTTACAAATGATCAAATGGTAGCAATAAACTGAGGATTGATTATAATTCCCTTAAGAAATATGTTTTATGAGATTGTTATGATAAATATTTCTGTACAGTTTTTAAACTCGTTGAAATTATAATCATTAGTTATTTTACCATTATCTATTTAATTTTCTCTTTATTACCATATTTTTTTCCCTAAATTTAAATTAGTTTTCAGGGGAGATAAATTATTAGAATACAGACATGATTGATTTTGTAAATTAACTAAAATGCTTTAAACATTGAAAAAAGACTTGATTATTTCCAATATAAAAACTTATCGAGTTTAGCGGACTCTCTTAAATTTTTATATTATTAATTATTTTAATTTATACAACAGAAATTCAGTATTTGTGTAAGGAATACTGAATTTTTGAAGATCCTTACACAGAAGATCTCCAAAAAAGAAAATTTATTTTTCTTTTCCTCAAAATATCCCAAAATAATGTATGATTTATTGTCATAATGAAAGTTTACAATGTAAACAAAAAGTTTTATAGATTTTTCCTATTTTTTGGACGTGTTAAATACCGTACATACTGTTTATATACATAAATATCTTGATGTGCAATGTTAGACCATGTTTTTGAATGTTACTTTTTCACAATAAACACACATATTGAAAATCGAAGTGTATATTATTATAGCATTATACCAATGAAAACAAGATTGCGAACACATGTTTAGAATATAGGCATATTCATTCAGTGGAAAGATAAAAAAAAACACACACACACACCTTTTCAACATGATTGTGTGAACACTTGACAAGTTTAACAAGAGCAAATAGAAAATACTGTAAATATGGAAAGATCGGTAACATAATACTTGGTTTTCCCATCTTTGTTAGCAATAATTCACAACAACTCATGATTAAACGTTTGAAGTAATTTCCAAATCAGTCTTTGTTATTATTTATCAATTAAGTATAAATACAGTAGAACCTCCATTATCCGGACCTCCATTATCCGGATTTTCGATTATCCGGATTGTCCAAAATAAACAAAAATTTTACGAATTTGCTGATTTGCACTTGGCGAATTACGACACTGTTTATGTACATGATGGAATGCATAACTTTTTTTGTTTCAACAACGTCTCACCCAGCACAGTGGTCGTAAACTCTTAAATATATTTTACGTCGTAATAAAAATATAACTTGACAAACGTATTTATAAATAATTTATATTCAAATTAAATCATTTCTATGACCAAGGGCGGCGTAAGGCATGGACGACGTGGGCCACCGCCTATGCCTCGCGGTCCGAAGGGCCTCGCGTTTCGAAGGTTTATGCATTACTTAAAAGCCGCGAACGCGACGAAAATATTTTACTCGTCATAAAATGATAGTTTGTCAAATTTTTATTCATAAAAATGCAGTTTCAACTGCTTTTTATTTTATAAAATCCTTATTCTTGAGCCGCCAGAGGGCCTTTTAAACAATAGGTAGTCTGTTAGCGTTGGTCAGTAGTAGTACAAATTCAATACGAACGTTTGTTTCTTGAAAATCTGATCACGATTTAAATACAGTATTTACTTTTAATATTACCGATATGTCATCGAAAAGAAAACGTATTGTATTATCATTAAAAGACAAATTAAAGTATTTTTTCGATTATCCGGATTTTTCCTTATCCGGACTACCTTCATCCCCAATTAGTCCGGATAATAGAGGTTCTACTGTAGTTGTAAACCTTTTATACATGTAAATACTAATTTTTAGAATATTTTATATACTGTATTAATTAATTAACTCCATTAACTAAGATCATCATTTATACTTTTAGAACCGTCAAAATCGATACAATTATTCTTTATGAATCGATATGATTCATATGAATAAACGAAATAAAAACTAACCTTTTAACCTTTGGTTATCATTTCTGAAAACAATACTGTGATACATACAGTAACAATATACAGTATTTACTAGAAGAATAAGTTACAATCTAAATGACTTATTTAATGAAAAAAATAGTAAAATATCGACCCAGTGCTCAGGTTATTGATATCAATTATACAGTACAGATAACGTTGGTATAACGCGATGGATAGACTCCACGAAAATGTTCACGTTATAAAAATCGTCTTATACGAAACTCGACATTACGTATAAAAAAAGGGAAAAATCGTTTTGGAACGAAAACAAACTATATTATAGAAATAGAAGAATAAATATAGAATAAACTGATTTATTATTATTAATTATTTTATGACTCTCAAACACAAAACCGTGATACTGTTTAATCACTTGGCGTTTTCTCATCTTTATTCAGTTGATACGAGTATTACTACACGTTTCGGGCACTCATCATGCAACTAAACATTAAAGAAAAGGAGTATATATAAATTTTTAACAAGACATCATCATACAGAAATGCTATTTTACAAAAATATATATCTAAATGTATAAATTTATTCGCGAGAAGTACCATTAGATTCTTTACAAACTTGAAAAGGTGTACACATGTATAAGAGTAATGCAGTTTCTTACATCTGCCTAGATAAATTTTACACACTTTTTTTTACAAATTTATAATGCAACACTATATTTCTTATATTTATTGTGCAACACTATATTTCTTATATTTATTGTGCAACACTATATTTCTTATATTTCTTAACAATGAAATCAAAAGTAGGCTTCACCAACACGACATTTACGTACATCTGTTTTAGAAACAAAAGTACTGTCCAGTGCAAAATGGTTTTCCTCATCGTGACGTGAATCACGTCACGTAAGTGACGTCATTTGACCTGTCAATCATTTCTACCTGTGCTCCCATTGGTTTAAAATGGACTGCGCCGTTGTATGATTTATTGGGGGGTGATAGGGATGATTCAAGAGGGATTATGTTGAGCACTAAGCTTAAAAATCGTAATCACAACTTTTTTTTAATATAATCGCGTTTTTTTTATGTAATAAAAATCTGGCACTATTGCCATTAGAAAATACGATTATATCGTTTATTTATATAATTTTTCTTTTTTCTGACGTTTCTTATGTTTATATTACTTGTATTTTGTTGTTTATATTACTGTAATTTGTCCAAAAATGAATGAAAAAAACATATCTAGATTCACTTCCTTTTAAATTATTCCAAAAGCGGGATTCACTGCCTTGCACCGATGCCAGGCACTGAAACTCGCTTCTCTTCAATTCCTTTGTAATTGGAGAGAAGTGGGGATGGAAGTCAAGGTCACAATAGTAAATGTTTATTATCTTTACAGAAG